GTATTTATTATTATATTATATATATATATATTTTTTCTTTCCAACTATTTATCTGTTCTTTTCTTTAGTACAGTTTTTATATTTTTATTTTATTTTATTTTATTTCTTTTTCCTGTTGTATTACGTACCTAGCAAGAATCACACGGGCAAGCCGCGAAGCACCGAGTGTCTCGGCTGGGATAGCGACGGGCTAACCGATGGTGTATCTTTAACCGTTCGCAAAAAATCCGGCCCAGTGTCTTATGGACGTACTGAGGTTGCTGAATTTGTTGATGGTGGCGGCAGTGGTGTTGCTGCTATTGCCGTATCGAGCCGGTAACATAATTGTGCGCGCTCTAATGGAACGACTTGCTTGCAGAGTTCCGAAATTGGACGGGAAGGGAATCCGCCAGCTTACAATACGGCTGCACACGACTACTCTGCAGCTATGAAAGCACTCGCGCGCGCTAGTACGCATAAAATGGATAACACATACAAATGATCCACACATACACGCACACACGCACTCACGCACACCTCGGTTTTTCTTTCTCTTTTCTTCGAAAATTTATGATATTTTTTCTACGTATTGGCCCTGTCAAACGTGCAGCAGCAACGCAGAAGTGTACTGTTGTTTCGCGTGTCACATGACACACTCGTGCATCGCGACACGACTAGCGTCGTCCGTCGCGTATCAGAGACAAAAACTGACTGTGAGAGATCCGTTCGGCTGACTCTGGCTTCTCCTCGTGGTAACCATCGTCTCGAAAAGCCGGCAACGTTGCGAGCTTCGGGAACCGCGCCGACGCAAAACCTATCTCGCCGCTCTGCACCGCGCTCAGCGAACCGCCCCATGAGGGGAACCCGACCACAACCAGACACAGCCCTTTTATTCCGATTCCTACCCATTGTCCCGATATCCTGGCTATCGACACCAGGATTCTTTCTTCCTATATATTCTAAACAAGGTATCCTATCCATTCCATATTTTTATTACGGCACGTGTTCTTCTTCTATGATTCAAAATAATCTTTCCGTGTTCGTTAATTAGATGATTTTTATCTGCCATCTTGCTGCTCTGGTAAACAGCAGCGTCACTGCCGGTGACTCGAGCAAACCTTTCTTTTCGTTAAAAATTGTATTTTGCAAGACCGTGATACACGACTCTCTTTGTCTTTGCGTATTGTTTGTATTTTAACTTTGCCTTTAGGTAACAAAAAATATTTGACATTTCGAAACGAATAAAAGTTTCCATGAAGCCATTATCAAATATGATTCTGACGTTCGTTTCCAGGAAGTAAAAGAATTAACGTATTTTATAAATAGAGCGTGGAACGAAACGTTTCACTTCCTTGATTAAAGACATTCTTTTTTTTTTTACATAGTATCACATTATTCGATTCATGCTATTTTTGCTCGAAATTTTACCAATATCGCTTTGTTATCTTATGCTCGCTATCTCGGTACACACTTGGGGACCCAGTTTTCATTAACCCATTTGCATCATTCGAAAAAGTGGAAAATTTACCCATATCGCCAAAATTTGTTTCTTTTTTCTTCTATAAAGATAGAAATATTTCAAAATGAAACGAAAAAAGAAAAATGGCGTACACAAAGAATTTATGAATTTATTTAGTTCAATGAAGTTATATATTGAAAACAATTTGAGAAATTAAATTTAATATTTTTATACAGTATGATAGCCTTAAAATGATCAATACACATAGCCACACGACAGTTATCACACTGATAAAATGAATCTTTTTTTATATTTTGTGATAAACAAACTCACAGCGTTTACGAGCTTTCTATGATGAAGTTGTTTCAATGTGTATTGGAAAATATTGGAAAATGAATCTTGATGATAATGCTGGACATGGTGTAATTTCTAATGTTGCTGATGTTTTTATTTTTGATTTATTTTGTTCGATTATTTCTTCTGCTAATTTTTGCTCGAAGACCTGAAGTGCTCTATCTTTATGAATAGTTTGCGTCATAATACAAAATGATAAAGCCTTTAAAATTATGGAAAATAAAGGTATTAACATAAGAGACACGGCCTCTGGTATAAAACAGAGTGTGCATGCGTTCTGTGACCATGCACAGAAGTTCTGTTCTTATGCACAAAAGACTAACGTGCATATCTGCGCTTCGGTGATGATGGCCAGAAAAATTCCGTGCATATATGTGCTTATGATGCAAATGGGTTAAACGTGAAAACATTGCTATACAGAGCACAATTATTGTTTCCATTATTACGATGAGCATTCGAGAGACTTGTTTGTGTACCAATTGCGTTTAGTTGATACGCAAATATGAAACGAAAGTAATCCAGCGAAGATCTATTTGGGTAACTATATTGCTTCGTTAATAAAGATGGCGACTAAACGTATATTAAACACGTTTGCCGTGCTACTTGCTGAAGAAAATGTAGTGTTTTATTTATAAAACAGAGGTGACTTTGAAATATCCACAACGTTGACGTTCCTGTTAAAAATCGAAGAACTTCGTCTGGGAACTACACCTTATTTACGTAATCTAAAATTATACGAGCAGTTACGTAGGTTTTTTCGTAGAAACATCTCATAATTTATTCGTAATTTATTTCTCATATTTTATTTCGATAAACCATGTTATCTTAACGAAACATCGATTTTGAACGAGATATTTCGTGTATAACTTAAATTGATTTGTTTTATTACTTACTCGTAATAGGCAGATCGATATCATTCGCGTCGATTTTGGCCAACACCAGAACCATTGTTTTCAACGCGATACCATCACAAAAGTTAATATCGTGTGGAGCAAAGAGCACAATATGTGAATATCGTTATCATAATGAAACTGCAGTGCACCTGTAAATCACTTGTTTAAACTATCCACGTGTACGGTTGCCAGACCGACCTTGGCGATACAGCTCCGTTAGTGGCAACTAACGATCATTTTTGAATAGGGTCTAATCCATGAAAGCATATTTACGTCATAGTAAAATACGAAGAAGTAGATGGAACATAAAGAAAAGGGGTATGATGTAATTTAGTCATTAGAGAACGGTATTCGACCAGATTGAACGATCGCGTGCCAATCCTATGTTTACTATAAAGTCTGCATTAAACTTTTTTTTACACCTTTACGAATATCAGAAATTCTGAATTTTTTCTTGAAATCTCCACTGCTGCAACGTAAAAAGAAAAATAAATATCAGCAATTGCTCTAC